TTTTTTTTTTTTTTTTTTTTTTTTTTTTTTTGAGACAGTCTCCCTCTGGCACCAGGCTGGACTGCAGTGGCGCCATCTTGGCTCTACAGGCAGGTGCCAGCCAATTTTTATAATTTTTACTGATAGAGATGGGGTTTCACCATGTTGGCCAGGATGGCCTCAAATCTCTTGACTTCGTGATCCGCTCACCTCGGCCTCCCAAAGTGCTGGCATTATAGGCGTGAGCCACCGTGCCTGGCCAGTTTTCATTATAAATGTGTCAAATACTCTTCTGAGCACTGTGAATTATTGTAAACACTTACACATTTAAATATCTTATTTAGCTTCTGATTTTTTAAAAAAAACAGAAAGGAATTGTATTATTTAAGTGGAAAAGACTCAGTATTAAAATGTTAGTCTGTTGGAACTGCTTTCATTTGGTAGCGTAGATAGCTAATCCTAAAGAGAAGAAACAAAATTATCAGGCTTTTTTTTTTTTTAAACTTAAAACCTTCACACCTATCAACACTGTCACACTCCAAAACCATTACACCTCTCAAGGAAACAAATCTGGAGGCATTTCTGGTTTTTTAGAATACCTATATTTTATGATTTTAAATTAAGTGCATTGTTTTGGACTATAGCTCTAAAAATTTTGACACGTATCACCTTTTTTTCCAAACTGTTATTTTATTTTATTTTTTTTTGAGACGGAGTTTCGCTCTTGTTACCCAGGCTGGAGTGCAATGGCGCGATCTCGGCTCACCGCAACCTCCGCCTCCTGGGTTCAGGCAATTCTCCTGCCTCAGCCTCCTGAGTAGCTGGGATTACAGGCACGCGCCACCATGCCCAGCTAATTTTTTGCATTTTTAGTAGAGACGGGGTTTCACCATGCTGACCAGGATGGTCTCAATCTCTTGACCTCGTGATCCACCCGCCTCGGCCTCCCAAAGTGCTGGGATTACAGGCTTGAGCCACCGCGCCCAGCCCCAAAGTGTTATTAAAGTCTGGATTTTTGTTTGTTTTTTTGAGTTTGATCCTTTTATTGAAACTTAGAATTTCACTGGAGTTTTGGCCCCAAATGAAAAAAAATGCAAACTAAAAAGAGTATTGTATTGGCAGGGAGAGGTGACCACTGTCCCCTGGAATCTGAAGCCAAGCAGAGCCTGGCAGGCAAGTGAGGGGTCTCAGCTGCGGAGGGCAGTAGCCTGGCCAAAGATGCCTGGGGAGCAGATTTGGCTGAGCTCCCTGAGCAGGGACAGCCCCAGGCAGCTAGAAGTTAACACATAAGGATTTATGGGTGTGGTGGAATCCAAGCCGCTGGTCCCATGGTCTCTCATGCTTGGTCAGATTCCACTTGGGAGAAAATGGGTTCATGTGTCAGGATGGCCTGGTGAAGGAGCACAGGTGCTAACAGTAACAGGCCGATGAACACTCGCCACTGGCATGAGGGTGGAGCTCAGCTGACTGGACACTAACTCCGTTACAAGGACCAGTATCTCCTGCTCCTCGTGCCAGGCTGTGCCACTCAATTGCTTATGGCCATCAGGACATTCAACTTCCATCCTTTCCTCCATCAGGACCCTACCTGTGTGGCCTCAGCTCTGGTCCTTACTGTTTGGTGGCTATGATGCAAGACTCTCAATCCTCTTTTAGAACGGTGTTGCATCAAGCAAGGGAGAATGTTCTTCTAGAGGGACAGGGAAAGAAGAGAGGTACACATGCTTCTCACTCTTAAGAAGCCAGGAAAGGTCCCTGGTGCATTCTCCACAGATGGGTTGGGTCATAGCATCCGAGAAGCTGTCATGGTGACAAAGTCCTCAAAGCTGAGCTGAGTGTTGCCTTGTGTAGCTGTGTCCTTCTCCCGAAAGGCCTCCATCAGCACCTGGAGCTGAGTGCACACCTGGATAAAGCAGTCAAGCTGCATGGGAGGATTGGCAGTGTGAGCAGTAGCAGGAGACCAGAAACTGGGTGAACTGGGGTTGTAGCCCATTTGGGACAGAGCTTGCTGCAGTTCTGTAGCTAATGGAGCCTGAGTGGTCCCTGTTATACTGCTGGAAGAGCGTCTTCCACTGCTGGATGAATTTCCACAGGGCCGAGAAGCCGTAGACATCGATGCAGCCAGACTTGGCCTTGTCAAAAATGTTTATCTTCATAAGGCAGGTCTCATCATTGAATGAGGACCAATTGAAGTTGACCAGGGCCTGTTTCACCTCCTTCATGGAGAGAGAGCCACTGTGATCAGACTCCACTGACTGGAACCGGGAGCAGGCCTTAGGATCCACATTGGGAGGGGCGCCACCCTGCCCATAAGACCCAAGCTGCTGGGCACCATAGGAATTTGGAGGTGGCTGACCATAGGGGTCCCCTGGAGCTACACTGCCATGTGGTCCTCTTGGAGTTCCAGAGGGAAACATCCCAGGATTGGGTTGTCCGCAGGGCCCTCCAGCTGATGGTCCATAAGGTCCTCCAGGCGCAGGACTCCCATAACCACCACTGGGGGTAGCCTGCTGCCATACTGCCCTCCACTATTTGGGGGGTCCAGGGTAGCAGCTACCCGGAGGTGCTCCTGGCACTTGTCCTGCAGCTCCTGGGCAGCCCTGCTCTTACGGATAGCTGGCCATGGCAATTCTGGCATCACATGCAGGCAAGGGGTAAACTCTGGATTTTTATATCATAGTGATTATGATGAATGATGCAGTTTACTTCATTTAGCATGGCAGAGTTGGCCTGAGTTTACATGATAAGCTTTCTGTTATGAACATTGACTCTAGCTATTGCATCAAAGGAATTTCCTGATTTTTGCTATTTATTGATTTATTTTATTATTTTTGAGACAATGTGTTGCTCTGTCACCCAGGCTGTAGTGCAATGGTGTGATCTTGGCTCACTATAGTCTCTGCCTCCCAGGTTCAAGAGATTCTCCTGCTTCAGCCTCCCAAGTAGCTGGGATTACAGGCATGTGCCATCATGCCTGGCTAATTTTTGTATTTTTAGTAAAGGCAGGCTTTCACTATCTTGGCCAGTCTGACCTTGAGCTCCTGACCTCAGGTGATCCGCCCACCTCAGCCTCCCAAAGCGCTGGGATTACAGTCATGAGACCCGTGCCCGGCCTATTTATTTTTTTGAGCCAGGGTCTTGTTACTCTGTCACCTGGATTGGAGTGCAATGGTTGTATCTCAGCTCACTGCACCCTCCACTTTTCAGGTTCAAGTGATCCACCCGCCTCAGCCTTCCTAGCAGCTGGGACTACGGGCATGCCTCACCATGCCTGACTAAGTTTTGTATTTTTTGTAGAGACAGGGTTTTGCCATGTTGCCCAGATTGGTATCAAATTCCTGGGTTCAAGCAGTTTGCCTGCCTTGGCCTCCCAAAGTGCTGGGATTATAGGTGTGAACTGCTTCATCCAGACTACTAAATTTATATTTGATAAACACTTGGATTTTATGTTTCATTCACTTACAGTGCTGATGGCTTATTAAACTTTGTACGTCATTTGCCAGAAAGAATTACTACGTGAACACACATCAGAAGCCTAAAGTCTTTTTTTATGTGCCCTGGACTAGGAAAATAGTTTTATATTCAGGCAAATTTAAAGTTTATTACTTCTAATAATAGAATAGACTTCTTTATTTGGATGTCTGAGAAAATTTTTAAGAGGATACTAGGTAAATTCACTGCTTTTTCTCATTGTCAGATCTCTGTGCTAAAAAGTTTGGGTCTGTTAATTGTCAGAAAGACAGGAGTAAATGGACCTAGTAGTTGGGAGCAACTTTCCTGTTGTAGGACCCCTTGCACAAACATTGACAGTCTTGTAAATATGTTGTCTCTTTAGCAAACTAACTTACCTTACCTCCTCTAATGAATTTGTGTTTTTGGCAGTAGCTGGACAGATCACAACATGGTATTTTATTTCATGCAGGTCATGCACTATTTAGGTCAGTACATAATGGTGAAGCAGCTTTATGATCAGCAGGAGCAGCATATGGTATATTGTGGTGGAGATCTTTTGGGAGAACTACTGGGATGTCAGAGCTTCTCCGTGAAAGACCCAAGGTAAAAAGTGTGAGGGTTAGTGTATCTTTTTGGGTGCTTATACCTAGCCACTTAATTTCTATAGGTTTATTACTTAGCTCAACAAATATGTAAGGGCCTATATATGTTAGGTAGCCTATGAGGTACTCAGAATATGGTAATGAGCAGCCCACAGTCTGATTTTATGAAGTGGATAATTTGATAATCAAATTATCATACCAATTCATGGTAAACCTACGCTATGATAAGTGCTACAGAAAAGAGATACATGAAGCCGAGAGTGGGTGGTATTTAGAGTGTTAGAGGAAAAGTTCTTTTGAGGAAGTGAGATTTGAGCCAAAAGCTGAAAGATAATTGAGGAGTTGATGAGAGGGGATTTGTTGAAAGAGTTTTTAGGTTGATTGAACACCATGTGTAAAGACCTGGGTAGGACGAAGCTTGATGTGACTAGGTTAGAATTTTGTGAAGTAATTGTTGGAGAGAGGAAGAGTGAGCAGATGAGAGAAATGTAGAATTGCTGGGCAGTTAGGGGTTGATAATGAGCCTAGTAAGAATCATGATAGGGCTAATCTGACCTGTTATTTTCTCCAACTGCAGGGGGTGTAAGTCATTAGCTTATACAGTCAAAAGCTAATTAGTAATTTAGAGGCTAGTGTTCTCTTTCTCTTTAGCTTTGATGACTGTTGCATCTGAGCTCATTTTGTTTTACATTAAGACTTCTCTCCACCCTCACTCTCTAATTCAAATGCGAAACTTAACTCCTAGAAGGAAGGAATAGTTTCCAAAGGAAATCTCCCCACTTGGATTACTGTTAGCTAATGAAATAAAACGTAAATTAATCAGTTTTTTTAATATTGGCAAAGTAACACGGGGCCTGGGCATTAACATCTTAATAATTAAATAATTTTTTTTTAATCTGGGAAAAAAATTCTGCCTCTCTATGCCTTATGGAGAAAGTCGAGAGAGAACATCAGAAATACATTTAATATTTAACAGCAAACAACTGATACCTTCATAATGGCATTTGGGATTGTTAATTTTTTAATCTTATCTCTTTAACAGCCCTCTCTATGATATGCTAAGAAAGAATCTTGTCACTTTAGCCACTGCTACTACAGGTACGTCACATCTTTTTTTTTCAGTCTGTATCACAGCTTTGAGTTCAAGGGGGGCAAATGAAGGGAAAGCAACAAAGATGAAGGTGGAAATGGAATGCTATCTTTGGCATGACTGGGAGGAATATATACTACTTGTCACACAATGTTATTATGTTATTAACTTTTCACTGAAAAATCAAACATAGAATAGAGGGATTCCCACTTTCTAGACGTACTGTTAACATTTTGTCATATTGCTTCATCTAGACACACTCTTAAAAATCTCTAGCTGATTTTTTTTTCAAACATTCAGTACCATTGTTACACATAACAAATTTAATATATAATTCCATAATCCTATTTCATAGCCAGTTTATGTATCATTTCCCCCAGTTATCTCAAAAATACCTTGTATTTTTGGCTTACTTGAATTAAGATCCAAACTCTACACATTGCCTTTGGTTGACATGTCTCATAAGTGTCTTCAGTCTATAAAACTTAACCTTCCTTTTGTTTTCATGTCATTTACTTGTTGAAGAACTGGGTCATTTGTCCTGTAGAATTTCCCACGTTCTAGAGTTGGCAGGTTGTATCCTTGTGATTTTGTTTAATGTGTTTCTTTACCCCTTCTATTTTTGGTAAACTGGTAGTGCTTGAGTAAATTCAAGTTTAAATTTTTTGCCAAGACAACTTTATAGGTGGTGCTTCGTACTTGTGTTTCATCACATCAGAGTCATGTAAGGTTCGCCTGTTCCTCTTTTAGTCAATTACGTTAACAATCTTTGAGCTCAGGAGATATCAGTCTGATCGACCTGTTATACAGGTTTCTCAAGAACCTTTCACCTAATGTCTTTAGCCTTCTGTTATCTGAATGCCAATTCGTCTGACCCTTTACTTGATTCTAGACCTTCTAAATACTGCACTTTGAGTCTAATCTATTAGGTATGTATAGGAAACTGGCTGTACTGGAGTCTGAAGTCTCCGAAGTGGTGATCTCTAAGATATAGGTAAACTGGATAGACTGAATGTAGCCATTTCCAAATAACGAAATTTTTCCCTTCTCCACTACTACATAAAGCCCTTTTGTGAGCTTTATATTAGATTTTAGGTAACATTGAAGAAAGCCCAAGTTAGTAATCTTTTTAGGTTGACCATCTTTTTTTCTTTTGAAACAGGGTCTCTTGTTGCCTGGAGCGCAGTGGTACTATCTCAGCTCACTGCAGCCTTGACCTCTAGGGCTCGAGTGATTCTCCCACCTCAGCCTCCCAAGTAGCTGGGCTTATAGGCACATGCCACCATGCCTGGCTAATTTTTCATATTTTTAGTAGAGATGGGGTTTTGCTGTGTTGCCTAGGCTGATCTTGAGTTCCTGGACTCAAGCATTCCACCTACTTGGGCCTCCTAGAGTCCTGGGATTACAGGTGTAAGCCACTGCACTTGGCCAAGATGGGCTATCTTTTGTTAATTTACAGAAATAAATAGCTTGAGAAGAATCCATTCCCTTTTTTTCTTTTTCTTTTTCTTTTCTTCTTTTTATTAAACGTAGACAGGGCCTTACTCTGTTGCTCAGGCTGAAATGCAGTGGTACAATCATGGCTCACTGCAGCCTCTACCTCCTGGGCTTAAGTGATCTTCCTGTCTCAGTCTCCCAAATAGCTAGGACTACAGGTGCATGGCACTACACTGCACCTGGCTAATTTTGTTTTTTGTAGAAATGGCATCTTCCTGTGTTGCTCAGGCTGGTCTTGAACTCCTGTCCTCAGCTATCCTTCCACTTAGAGCCTCCCAAGGTCTTGGGATTACAGCATGAGCCACCAGGCCCAGCCCTAGAATCAATTCCTAATAAAGATTTATTCTTTAAAGGCAGAGGAGACATTGCTCTCATACTGAAACATGATTTTGAACTTACTGAATTTTGAAGCCTTTTGGTCTCATTGAGTCATTTGCCCACTTCACATAGCTGTCAATTTGAGAGAGAAGGCCCTGCAAATGATATGGCAGCTTTATTGAAATTCAGTCACTTGTAAAATAGCATGACTTTCCTGGGATAGTCACTAAAGATTCGAAATACATGGAGAATTTTATAATTGCTGATCCACTTTTTCAGTAAAATTTGTTTTCAGATTGATCTGTTCTTAGAGTATCTGTAATTCTCCCTTTTGTACTTTCTTTGCAGAATTTAACATGCCATATAAAGAGCATTTTGTTGTTGGGTTGGTTTGGTTTGGTTTGAGACAGCATCTCTCTGTTGCTCAGGCTGGAGTGCAGTGGCAAGATCTCGGCTCACTGCAACCTCCACCTCCGTGGCACAAGTAGTCCTCCCACCTCAGCCTCCCCAGTAGCTGGGGACTACAGGAGTACACCACCATACCTGGCTAGTTTTTTTTGTATATTTTTTTGTAGAAACAGGTTTTTACTATGTTGCCTAGGCTGGTCTTGAGCTCCAGGACTTAAGCAGTCCCCCTTCGGCCTCCCAAAGTGTTGGGATGGCAGGTGTGAGCGACCACGCCTGGCCCATTTTTATTCCTTAATTTGTCATTTTGAAAAAATTTCAGACTTAATAAAGTTGCAAAAGTATCGCAGTTTCCCTGTATCCTTTACCCAGATTCTCCAAGTGGTAACATCTTACACAATTATAGTATGATCAAAACCAAGAAATTGCTCCAAGTAGTTCTGATAGGTTATCTGTTCAGACTTGCAATTGCATTGGTGCTTGTGGCTGGCCATCTCTGTTGTTTTTTAAATGAGAGAAGTGCTTTTCATATAATCTATTTTATACCTTTGCAAGTGAGTTAGACTTTTCATTTTAATGGTTGAAGAAGATGCCATTGTTTAAAATGAAGGCAATTCTTTCCAAATCATTTCTCCAGATTTTCCCAAGCATACTAATGAAATATGATGAACTTTGTGTTTGTTTACTTATTTATTTGTTTTTGAGACTAAGTCTCGCTCTGTCTACCAGGCTAGAGTGCAGTGGTGTGATCTCAGCTCACTGCAACCTCTGCTTCCTGGGTTCCAGTGATTCTCCTGCGTAGCTGGAATTATAGGCATGCACCACCAACCTGGCTAATTTTTGTGATTTCAGTAGAGATGGGGTTTCACCAGGCTGGTGGATTGCTCAGGCTGGTCTTGAACTCCTGGGCTCAAGCAATTCACCCACCTCAGCTTCCCAAAATGCTGGGATTACAGGCGTGAGCCACCACACCTGGCTGATTTTAAAACTTCTTTTTTACATTGTGATTTCCTCACATAATTCATTTTTGCTTGCAACTCTTTTAACCTAAGTAAGGTGGTAAGGCTTTAGAAATATAAATGACAGTAATAGGATTGCTTTATTAAAGAATTGCTCCATCTGCATTATATATTAACTGAACTTTGCTATGAAGACCGCTGTGGTCAGAAAATGCTGTCTCTCGAACTTTTCGTTTCCTCCGTGTATCTACAAAAATGTTTCTGGAAATAATGTTTTTTATAATTAGAATTTTGAAAATGTTTGCTTTTATTAGAACAACTACATTGACAGATCATTTGTAGGATCTGTATCCTTCCTCTAGCAGCCTTTATTGGATGGTGACGATAATTTCCGTAAATATTTTATCTCTGAACCTGGTAGTGGTTGATGAACCTGACCCACAGTAGACTTATTTGGGTATATCTCATTTTCATAGCCTCAAATAATGAATAGTCCAGATTATTGTTTGCACCTTGATCTTTTCCTGTAGCCAAGTTTTTGTCTTTTGTTCTACTTGAAAAATTTCTTTTTAAATCCTTGGAATGTATTTCTCTCAGATTAGTGCAGTGTCTAAGAATTTCTCTCTACTGGGTTGTTTTCTTTGCTTCTTTTTATTGGTCTTGAGAAAAACTTTATTTAAATACATGAAAATAAAAATTAAATTTAAAAAGCCACACACTTTTTTGCTATTGTTTGTGAGTTAGTCAAATTTGGTAATACAGGAAGACATGACGAAAATAGTTTCCATTATATACTGCTTAGAACCACTTTTCATATAAAAATTTCAAAGCTTGATATGAAAGAACATTTTTAGCTATTTTTCACTTTTTTTCCCAATTATATTTTGGTAATATATTTTGGATATAGCCTGTCCTGGTCTTTGTCATTTTTACCAATTTTGATTTTTCCCTTGCAAATGAGAGCCGTGTCCAGCCAACATGGTGAAGTACATTTCTAGGGACTACACCTGGCTTCCGGGTTGTTTGCTGGTCCTTTTTGTGTGGAAAGAATGGTTATTACCAGGGAAGGTTTTCCTTTTGTTTTACTTGCTATCCAGATGCTGCTCAGACTCTCGCTCTCGCACAGGATCACAGTATGGATATTCCAAGTCAAGACCAACTGAAGGTAAAATCACCACATGGTGACTTCTTTTGTTGTACAGAGTGGCCCCTTCTCTGTACCTATGGATCTTGAACTCCCAAGACCTTTCCCTGAATGTGGTAAGAATTTAATAAGAAAGGTTCTTGGGAGTTCACAGACCAAGGACAGAGTGAACCTTCTCTGTTCTGCCCATAACAGAGTTCCAGTCTCTGAACCTTTCTTTGGGATGTAGCACTTCTGATCTTCAGTTCTTCCAGTTGCATTTTTCTTTGGGTTTGTGTGTATGTGCGCGCGTGTGTGTCTGTGTGTGTGTGTGTGTGTGTGTGTGGAAATTGCTTTATTAGATTTTAATAGACTTGTTGCAGTTAAGTTCATGTCAGGCCATTTCCTAAAGCTTCCCCAAATTTGGGGAAATTTTATAATCATCTTTGTATTTGGTGAGGGTTTCACATGTTTTCTGAATTATGCCTAATTTTGTAGTAGGCTTGCGGCTTTTTACAGATAGCCCGTTTTTAACAGTAGATTTTGGCCTTTGTGCAGAGGTTTTTTTCCCCCTAGGTTTGGGATTCTCCTAGCTTTGCTTACAGTGGGTTGAGGAGAGATGTTGCCTTTATTTGATGACTGTTGTGAACTTGAGTTCTCTTTCTTGTGTGTAACCCATTGTGTTTCACACTAACTGGTGAGCCAGAATGGAACTGCTACATCCCCTGGTCTCAGTTATTTCTGCTGCACTGATGGACGACATCTTTCCCTTCTTTCAGCAAAGTGCAGCGGAAAGTTCCACTTCCAGGAGAAGAACTGCAGAAGATGATATCCCCACACTGCCTACCTCACAGCATAAATGCGTAAATTCCAGAGAAGGTATGTTTTGGATTAAGTTATTATATAGACTTTTGTTCTCTTCCTCTTCCTTTCGCCCTTTAAAAAATTTATTTTTATTTTTACTTTTTTTTGAGATGGAGTTTCTCTCTGTCACCCAGGCTGGAGTGCAGTGGTGTGATCTTGGCTCACTGGAACCTCTGCCTCCCAGGTTCAAGCAATTCTCCTGCCTCAGCCTCCTGAGTAGCTGGGATTACAGGCATGTTTCACCACACTTGGCTAATTTTTTTTGTATTTTTAGTAGAGACAGGGTTTTGCCATATTGGCCAGGCTGGTCTTGAACTCCTGATCTTGTGATCCTCCTGCCTCAGCCTCCCATAGTGCTGGGATTATAGGCGTAAGCCACTGTGTCAGCCCTTTTTTTTTTTTTTTTTTTTTTTTGAGATGGAGTCTTGCTCTGTCGCCCAAGTTGGAGTGCAGTGGCGTGACCTCAGCTCACTGCAACCTCAGCCTCCCGGATTCAAGTGATTCTCCTGCCACAGCCTCCTGAGTAGTTGGGATCACAGGCATGCGCCATAACACTCGGCTAAATATTTTTTGTATTTTTAGTAGAGATGGGGTTTTGCCATATTGGCCAGGCTGGTCTTGAACTTGTGACCTTGTGATCTGCCTGCTTTGGCCTCCAAAAGTGCTGGGATTACAGGCATGAGCCACTGCGCCCGGCCCCCCTTTTTAAAAATCTTTCCATATGTGAAATAGGAGAAGCATATGTCATAATTCCTCACTCTTCTTTGAAGACCTTTTTTCATCAACCTAGTTACTGCCATTGTTAGCTTTGAAGAAGGTAGTGTTTTTTTAGCAACCCATGAGTACTAGGATGATGCAAGACCCTTCTATGGCTAGCATGCTGCTAGAAAATAGCTACATATTTATTGATTTGCCACCAGGTGGCTTTTCTGTATACATGAATGAGCTGCCTTAGACTTTTAAATTTTGTTATTCTTGTTTGTATATGATTTAGTTAGAATTTTTATTCTGATTTGTCTACTTGAGGCAAAGGCTAATTTTCATACTTTTTTTTTTTTTTTTTTGGGAGACAAAGTCTCGCTTGGTTGTCCAGGCTGGAGTGCAGCAGTGTGATGATCTCAGCTCACTAGAACCTCCACTTCCCTGGTTCAACTGATTGTTGTGCCTCAGCCTCCCAAGTAGCTAGAATTACAGGTGTGTGCCACCACACCTGGCTATGTTTTGTATTTTAGTAGAGATGGGATTTCACCATGTTGGCCAGGCTAGTCTCAAACTCCTGACCTCAAATGATCCACCCTCTTTAGCCTCCTAAAGTGCTGGGATTACAGGCGCACACCACCACACCTGGCTAATTTTTGTATTTTTAGTAGAGACTGGGGTTTTGCCATGTTGACAAGGCTGGTCTCGAACTCCTGGCCTCAAATGATTCACCTTCAGCCTCCCAAAGTGCTGGGATTGCGCCTGGCCCAATTTTTACACATTTTGAAATTTGCAAAGATGACATAATATACTTAATCACAAAGCCAAGAAGAGATATAAGAAGCCTGGTATAAGTTGAGCATTCTAAATTTGAAATGCTCCCAAATCTGTAAACTTTTGAGTACTCACATGACACCATAGTAGAAAATTTAACACCTGACCTCATGTGACAGGTTGCAGTGATAAAAACTGTTTCATACACATAATTATTTAAAATATTATATAAAACTACCTTCAGGCTTGTGTGGACAAGGTGTACATGAAACATAAATGAATTCCGTGTTTAAACTTGGGTCCCATTCCCAGGATATCTCATTACGTATATGCAGATATTCCAAATCCATAAAATTTTTTTGCCCTTGGATGGCAGTCACCAGATCTTTGCCACTGCATTAGCTATGTTGTGGTCAGGCTAATGAGTTAACGCGTATTTTTTCCAAAACTCCACTTTATAAAACACTTTCTAAAATTAGGAGGGTTTTTTTTTGGGAAAGATGAATGAAATTGTAAATTCCCCAGAGTGATTTTATGGCTTGATGGCTTCTAGCCTAGGCATGCAGATCAATGGCAGGTTAAGCCTCTAGTTATGTCTGAGAAACTTTGGCTGCTGAAGTTATTTTAAAAGTTTAAATTAAATTTGAATAATTTTATCATGCTGGATTGTTTTCTTTAAATTGCATTTGAGCATAAACTGAATATTGGTCTACCTAGCTACTTTGTAATGATTTCAGTCTATGTGATATTAAATGTGTAATTTTACTCCTTTAATACAAATCCTTGCTTATTTTGTACTCAAAAGGCAATTTTAAGATCTGTAAGAACAGGGCTGGGCACTGTTAGAAAATCCAGGCCAGGTGTGATAGCTCATGCCTGTAAGCCCAGCACTTTGGGAAGACAAGGCAGGGGGATTGCTTGAGCTCAAGAATTTGAGACCAGTTTGAGTAACATAGCAAGACCTAAATGAGCCTAGTGAAAAATTAGCTGGGCATGGTGGTGCGTGCCTGTGCTCCCAGCTACTCAGGAGACTAAGATGGAAGGATCACTTGAGCCCAGGAGGTGGAGATTGCAGTGAGTGGAGGTTGCAGTGAGTCAGTATCATGCCACTGCACTCTAGCCTGGGCGACAAAGTGGGCCTCTAGCTCAGAAAACAAGTTGAGGACAAGGACAGGTATAAGAACAACCAATTCAAGGGAGAGGATATGTAGTTTGTGATGAAAATTTGGGAATAAATAACTTACTATTTTCAGGAAGGTCTGTAGGTAGAAAGGACAGAATTTTTATTTGTGGAATGACCTATTTTCATTTCCTTCATAAGTTGTAGAGCTCGAGTAGGGAAGAATAATTTTAATATGGCACCATCTCAAGAATTTGGTTTCTGATAATTTCAACAATGAATAAGTGGAAACATAATTGAAGTTTCCCTGGCCACAGACAAGCCTTTTAGTCAGCATTATTGACATAGCTTGTTAGTAAATAGGGTAACCTTATGTTCTGACAAGCACCCATGTATTGCAGAAATTCATTCACCATGTGCACATCAGCACACATTAACGCCCATGGTTGTTGTGGGCAGGCCTAATGTATTGGGAAGAGGTAGAAGAGAATGAGAAAGTAAGAAAGGAGCAGTAGAGCGCAACAAAAGACTGGAATATGGAAAAGAATATCATATGATAACAGACTTAAGCTATTAGCTACCCTCAGTGTCATTCAGATACACAACATGAGATGTTTTACGTGAAATGATGTGGGGCCTTAATATTTGTGGTATGTCTGGATACTTAGCTCCAAGAGCCCGTTGATCCAGCAAGGACATATGTAGGTGTTTGGACAACTTAGAGTTTAGTGTTTTATAGTGGTGATTATCTACTAAAACATACAAATTTTTGAAAAATGACTTAGAATATGTGGTACCAGTGAGATTGCTTGGACAACCTTGTGATCCCCATTATGGTTTGTATTGCCTTGCTTTGATCTTAAGGGTTATGCCACTATGTTACCATCATTTGCAGTGCCATGGATCAGACAATTATCAGACACTGTGTGCTAAAGCAAGTAATTCTATAGATCATGCAATGATAGGAGTGTTTAAAATGCCAGTAAATGAACATTTAGAATTTTTTTTTTTTTTTTTGAGACTTTTTTTTTTTTTTTTTTTTTGAGACAGAGTTTTGCTTTTGTCGCCCAGGCTGGAGTGCAGTGGCGCGATATTGGCTCACTGCAACCTCTGCCTCCCGGATTCAAGCGATTCCCCTGCCTCAGTGCGTGCCATCACGCCTAATTTTTTTTTTTTTTTGTATTTTTAGTAGATACGGGGTTTCACCATGTTGGTCAGGCTGGTCTCGAACTCCTGACCTCCTGATCTGCCCACCTTGACTTCCCAAAGTGCTGGAATTACAGGCATGAGCCACTGTGCCTGGCTCATTTAGAAATTCTTTTAGAACAAGGTCATTGTTCAGGTGCTTTTAGAGTCGTTTTTTCCCCTATCTTCTCATAGAAGACAGTGCTTTTAGAATTTAGACTTGATAAACCATGATCTACTTAATAGTGTCATTGCTTGCTAATGAAGCCTAAACAAGAGAGGAGATTTGAGCTCTGCCACTAAGATACTTGATTTCTGGTTCTTTCTTTCTTAGAATAGGAATTTCTTTTTACCTATTTTATAAAGAAGTTTTAAATATTCTAAAGATAGTCTTGGTTATTACGTGTTGTGTACATAGTTATCATCCTTTTCATTTGTCTTCTATAGATGAAGACTTAATAGAAAATTTAACCCAAGATGAGACATCTAGGCTGGACCTTGGATTCGAGGAGTGGGATGTAGCTGGCCTGCCTTGGTGGTTTTTAGGAAACTTGAGAAACAACTATACACCTAGAAGTAGTGGCTCAACTGATTTACAGACAAATCAGGTAAATTTCACATTTGAAGGGGAGTGGTTTTTTTTTTTTTTTCCTTTGAAAGGGTAACATTCTTGGTTACTCTTGACCACACATATTGTCTAAGAATTCTTATTTACTCCTGTGCCATTAAGTAGTATCTTTATGCATGTGATACCCAAATCTGTGTCTCTAGTCCTTATCTCTGCCCTAAATGCCCAGCTTCAGTTTTCAGATGCCTAATTAACTAACACCTCTCCTTAAAGGATTTGACATTGAACAATTTCAAAATGGAACTTTTGGCTAGGTGTAATGGCTAATACTGAAATCTCTAGAAGTCTCAGCCTGTAACACTGGAAGGCCGAGACTGGAGGATTGCTTGAGCCCAGGAGTTTAAGACCAGCCTGGGCAACATAGACCCCATCTTTACAAAAAAATAAAAAATTTGCCAGGCATGGTGGCACACACCTGTAGTTCCAGCTACTTGGGAGGCTGAGACAGCAGAATCCTTCGAGCCTGGGAGGCTGAGGCTGCACTGAGCTATGTTTGTGTCACTGCACTCCAGCCTGGGCAGCAGAGCAAGACCCTGTCATTCAGAGAGAGAGAGGGATGGAGAGGGAGAGAAGAAGGGAGGGAGAGAGAGGGAGAGGGAGAAAAAGAGAGGAAGGGAGCGAGGGGGAGAGAAAGGAGAGAGAAAGAAGAAAGGAACTTCCTTCTTTTTAGCCAAACATTCCTTCCCCAGCCTTTCCTCTTTCATAAATTTACCATCTATCCACTTATTCCAGCCATATATCAAGGAGATATTGAATGATTTCTTTCTCTGTCAGAGACCACGTTCAGATTACTAGCTCTTTATCCAAAACATATTCAAAATCTAACAACTTTTTACTACTTTTGCCGTCATACCCCAATTCTCAAAACATTATCACTTTTCATAGAGGCATTATAACATCGTCATACCACATGGTCCACCTCTTTCTTATTCTTCTAGTAGTTTAGACTTGTCACAGAGTATATTTTTTAATGGATAAACCACATTGTTTCCAGTGGCTTCAGAAAACAAGTAGAATAAAAGCTAGACTTTCTGCTGTAGTCATAACTGATTCAGTCTCCTTCTTCCTTACTTCTTGTCATTCTTCCTTGTTCACTATATGTGTTTTAGATACACCAGGCTCCTTTCTGACACTGTAGCCCAAAATTCTTTCCTTCCTCAGCCACCTTAAATTTGTTCTTTTTTTTTTTTTTTTTTTTGAGACAGAGTTTCACTCATGTTACCCAGGCTGGAGTGCAATGGCGCGATCTCGGCTCACCGCAACCTCCGCCTCCTGGGTTCAGGCAATTCTCCTGCCTCAGCCTCCTGAGTAGCTGGGATTACAGGCACGCACCACCATGCCCAGCTAATTTTTTGTAGTTTTAGTAGAGACGGGGTTTCACCATGTTGACCAGGATGGTCTCG